CATCAACTCATCAGCAGCCAGCCGTACAAATACGGGCAGCTCACAGACCTTCAGCGCCAGATGATTGTGATTCCTCACCGTGGTACAGTCAGGCCGCTTAGCAGCAACCTCTTGTGAAGCATCAAGCTAAGTCTACCGTTTTCGAGTGTCTCAAGTTCATTGTTTTTCTCCTCTGTATCTCCAGCGTCTCATCTCGGCTCCAGCTCCAGTGCTTCTCCCCACACGCCTGCCTCTTCTTCTCCCTCGAGCACACATCATGGGAACCCACAGCCACGAGCACCTTCACCCGACGGATCCCCACTCAAGCACCTTCACTGGGAAGAACTTCACGGGAAAAGGATTCGCACGAGCACCGCTCCTGGAGCACCGCACCCCCACCTACCACCTGGGATCTCCACCACGACACCCCCACTGGATTCCTCCACCTGGACACCCTCAACTTCCCCCTCCCTTGTTAAATAAATTTTTTCCTTTAACCTTTTCTCCTGCCTCTCTTTTTCGTTGGGTCCGCCCGCACAGATTCTGAGCTCGGGTCATCACAGATGGAAGCCAAACATTTACATTTAGAAAATCTATTTTAACTGGTGCAAAAGGCAGCTCTTCATCTAATCAGCACATCTGTACAAATCCACACAAATAGCTATGGAAAAAATGATCAGACTACCCTTGTTTCAAAGTTAATACGTTGCAGCTAAATGTGTCCTCTATCTTTGACTCTCAAGATTTTGCCTGACTTCCTGCTCTAAGGCTACCCTTTGTGAGTACCGCTATGTCGACCAGAAAATGAACTGGACCAACGCTCAGCATTACTGCAGAGTAAAATACACTGATCTGGCCACCTTTGACAACATGGATGACACAAATAGATTAAACAGACCAAGTTTGGAAACCTCACTGGCATGGATCGGACTCACAGATGACCCAAAATCCTGGAGGGGAACTTGGAGTAATGATTCAATCTCCTGGAGATGGTCAGCAACTGGTGAAACAGGCAGAACTGGTTACCAGAACTGGAGCCCAGGTTATCCTAATAGTGCTAAAGCAAATCAGTTCTGTGTGTTTGTGTTTAACGGAAAATGGGATGATTATCCCTGAGACACTAAATGAACCAAATAATCATAAAGGAAAACAGAGGTGTGGGTTTGTGACAAAGGAAGGAACGTGGGATGATTATTCCTGCGACGATGAATATTATTTTGTTTGTTTCCAGGGTAAGATCAAGTTTGTATTGATATATTGATGATGATGATCGTGCTGTTGTGAGTCTCAAACGAGCTTGGTGTATCTTCTATTGTAGATACAAATCCTCCAGGACAGAAGATATATACTCTGATTCAAAATTCAATGAACTGGAAGGATGCTCAGGCTTACTGCAGAACACACCACACAGACCTGGCTATGATTGAGAATGATCAGGAGAACGGACAGGTGATGTCACTCCTGCCAAACAGTAAGAGGTGGATCGGCTTGTACTGACAACCATAGAGGTGGTCCAACAACAGCAGCAGCTCCTTCACAAACTGGGCGAATGGAGAGCCAAATAACTATTACCATCGTCAGCACTGTGTGACTGAGAGATCAGATCACTTTTGGAAAGATTTCAGTTGTGACAAGAAGGAACCCTTCTGGTGTCACGGTAGTGAAACAAAAAACAAACATTGTGAATACATTTCATTTTTTTTCTGGCAATGCAATCATGTTTCGTCTTTGCTTTGTAATTTTTTGGGGCTGTCTAGTCCAAAGTGTGAAGAAGACCATTGTGAAGATGAAGATTCAGACTGATGCTGACCTTTCAGATCCAGATGTTAACATCCAGATCCTAGACCAGGCAAAACTCAGTGACATAGTCTCTGGATCTATCGTGCAAATGTAGACCATGACTTCTGAAACAAACAAAAAGTCTAGGACAGCCAAGGACAACGAATAGGCTAGTGATTATGTCATATGCCAAGTTTGCCATGATAGAGATTCCTAATGCAGTGGCAAATAGAACTAAGACATTTCTGAAGAGTGTGCCATTGCAGCTTCTGTCAGTAGATATGTCCTGCTATAATTATACATAGCATTTTAAAAAGACACAACAAATCAAAAAATTACATTACAAATCATAATCAGTTCCTTCTGACACCTCTGAGCTTTTATTTTGAAAGTGTAGCACACTACAAAACCCTGATCAGTCATTATAAAGACCAGTGTTTTTTAATGAACTATAGAACTCAGAGTTTAAAACAAATAAATAAATATATATATATTATTTTATTTTTTAACTTTTAAATCTAGGCTACAACAGTTGACTGAACTCTGTCACTGGGTTTGAGGTCTTATTTTGAAAGGGAACCCAAGCATGCAGATGGTTTGTCCAGCCACAGGAGGAAGCCATGAGGTGGCATGTTTGTTTTGAAAAACCTGCACATTTCAGAGCCCTTTGTAAGTCTTATGTAACATTTCAGAACTTTTATTTTGAAAGGTGGTGTAAGCCCGATGCATCCTGGTAACATTTTTAGCTCACTCAGAGCTTTCACTTTGAAAAGTTCACATGCATGAACGTCCTTCCCTTAGCCTTGTTGGTGTTGTTTGTGTTGAAAGAACAGAAACAGCATCATGCGGCTGCTATAGATCCATTAAACCAGTGTGACTTGGGAGAGACTCTTATTTAGATGTTTAACACAACAGATAGGGAGTCACTAAACAGACGTGAACGTCCTTCCCATAGCCATTTGTATGTGTTTTCTTGAAGCTGCAGGATAAGTTTGGTGACAAAAATCACGTCAGAATCCATAATAACAATTAAACCCGAGCAATAACAACAAGTTCATTCCCGCCATGCCTTTGAACACCTCTGCCAGCCAGTCAGTTTCCAGTTCACATCCATGTCTGTCCAGACTTGACCAAATGTGTTTTTGAGAACCTGTTACTTTAAAGCACTTTACACATGCATCACATCTAATGTTTCTCCTCCTTCATCAGATGAATGCGACGCTCAGGGATCAGGGATTGACTGAGTTCAAGCTGCGATGGAAGATTCAACCTCAAAAAGAAGAGATCGACAAAAGACGAAGACACTTCTATTTTTAAGAAATAGCAGAAGTAGCAACAGTGTGGTAAAATGAAGTCATGATTAACACATAATTGTAGTCTGACTTTTAAAGAGCATTTTAAGAGCTGGGCTGCACAGTGCCTTGGTTGTTAGCACCGTATCACAGTTAGAAGGTCGGCGATTCACGTCCTGGTTATGACGCTTAGGATCTTTCTGGAGTGTCCATGTTCTCCCCGTGCAGCGTGGGTTCTCTCCGGGTTCTCCGGCTTCCTCGCACAGTCCACAAACATGCTGAGGTTAATTGGTGATTGTAAATTGTCCGTAGGTGTGAATGTGAGTGTGCTTGGTTGTCTGTCTCTAAGTGTAGCCCTGTGATAGA